ATGCTCTCACATGTTTGTTTGATACTTTCGGTAGAACAGCCCATGCAAAATTCAAGCAAATGCGATACCGAGGGAACGCAGCATACTCTATATTGTAGTTCACTAATTAGTTTGTTTTTATTTGCCAGAAATGGAAAGTAACCTTTCCAATGAACAAACTGACCAATACTTTCAGTTTGGGACGTCATTTGAGAAAAATTTTACACTCGGGCGAAGGATATACTTCTATTTTATAGATTGTGTGGTTCAAGTTAAAAAGTGATCATGCGTATCATCGATATTCAATGTAAAACAGGCTCCAAACACTGACAAGACTCGTTTGCCTAAATAGCGTTGTACAGTTACAACGTAATCCTTTGCGCATACAAAGGTTGTTTATTGCCTGGACATAAGTGAGAGATTATGGTTACTTCCTTAGTAACCGGGAACTGCACGTCTGAGTTGATTGTGGCAGTTACTGCAATTTTTAATGTAGGCCAACTGTGATCAGTTTGAATCGCCACATGTTTTCTACACAATGTCTAAGTTGCAGACAACGATCATATCGGTCACCAGCCTTAGAAAAAAAAAATATATATATAGATATATATAAAATAAAATAAAATAAAATGTGCGTTGTAGATGCAGGCTTGCAAGCTGGAGACGAGAGATAGAAACAACTCGGTCTGACAAAGCATGTGCTTCGCTGTTCGGTCGAGTGGCACCCGGGACTGGCGTAACGATTATTCAATTGTATTTATATCTCAGATTCTTACTGGATATTAAAATTTAATTGTGATAAATAGTTTGTTGTTTGGGACAACGTGGCCTGGTATACAGGAAGTAAACATGCAGTACTGTTCAGCTCTGAAAATTTGACGTCATAATTAGGCGGAGACACTCCGTATAAGGAGTGAGGTGATTGACAAGTTTCTTGAGTTGTGTCATCATTTGCCATGACCATTTTCTTGAGAAGCATCAATCGTATTCAAATAACAACATGCCTGGCCGAAGAAAACAGCTTTCAGATGTCAACCACAACGTCAACCAGCAGCGATTGGAACAATTAATTTCCGTGATCGCCGAAAAAGTTCGCTATTTAAAATGTAGACATCGATCAGTCTCAGCTTCAGCCATTTTATCATCGTCACCATGTGACGATAATTTCTTTTTTTCTTGGCACTTCTTCTAGTTCTTCAATGTCTGAGCTATATGGAGATAAATGTTGCACCGTCACAGCAGTATCGTTAGCAGTGTTCTCCCCAGGCTCAGAGGCAAGCATGGCAGTCTAATTTGCATGCTAATTTGCATACTAATTTGCATATTTTTCAGGATTCACTCTCACAAAAACAAACATACAAGACAGTATTAAAATGTATGAGAGACTTTATTTAAATTACATAATACTTTACATAATATACCATAATTTGACAAGATCGTCATTTAATGTAAACTGTTCCATAAAACTTAGTCTAAACTAATCCTTCTGACTTTGTTGTGCATTGGCTGCCTTACTGTAGTTAAACTCGTCATAGACTTGCACGGGACTTTGTTCCATAAAGAAGATCCACTCTTTGCAATCATGTTGTGCTTTGAGCATTAACTGCACAACATTCCTAGTGGGAAAAAATGATAAATAATAAAAAAACAACAATGAGGATTGAGGTTCAAATAAATGTAAACATAACGATTGAATTGTGCCACGATCGGGAACCC